CCTTCTCCACATAGGTCGGCTGCCATGTTGATCTCTCGTGTGCAGCTGACCTGTTGGTCTTGATGATCTCTCTCGCCTTGTCGATAATCTCGGCGGAAGTGGAGTACTGCTCGCGATCACCAAGGGCCTGGCTCAATGCAGCACAGGACCTGTTGTAGAACTCACGTCTGAGATGAGTGAAAGGCAGATCCAGATTGGGCACTGCCACAATCTTCTGCCACTCTGTGAGCCAATCCCGTGTTGCAGTGTTGCCCTGTGACATGGTGAACAAATGGTTGATGGCGAGTGTCGGCGCGTCGTCAACGATGAACCGCTTCTTCCACAGTCGTGTCAGTTCCTCCCATGTGATTTTGTCCTTCAAGTCTGGTACGTCGACGCCGTGGGAGGTTGCCAGGTGGCTCAACCAGGTCTGGCATCCGCCCTTTGAGTTCAGGAACAGGGCGCCGATGTACGCATGCTTGGCTACGGGCAGAATCCTGAGTTGCGTTGTGAATGCTTCCCACCAGAGGACCGGATCCTGCTGCGTGTAGTCATCGAACCTCTCCAGGTTGAAAGTTGGCATCTTGTACATCTTCGGATTGTCGTCCGCGTTCGTCGACTGCAGCTGTTGGACCTCGGTCTTCAATGTATGCAGCTGACTGCTGATGGTGGTGGTCGGCGCAGCGAAAGTGCTGATGTCGCCGAGCATTGCCACTACATGGTCAACACGGTCCTCCAGTTGGCAGCTAGAGGGTGCACTGCTGGAAGCCCCAACAGCTGGTCCTGGTACAGCCTGTTCCAGGTCCAGTAATCGGGCATTGAGTGCCCGAGTTGCATCCTCGTGGCTCTGCACTATGCGGCGGAGCTTTGCCAACTCCTGATGTTGTTGCGTCAGGTCCTGGTACTGTCTCTCCAACTCTGACCGTTGGTAATTGCAAGCGTACAACAACCTTGTCACGAGTTTGGAGAGGAACTCCTTGTGCTTCTCTTGTGGTGTTGCCTCGTCGCCGTTCGGTTCAAAGTGCCAGAACCTGAGTCAGTCGATGCTGTTGGCTTCATGCCGCTGCAGCATATCCTGGGCTTCCTTTCGGCAAGCCTGGGCATCTGCGGCTGCGTTGGCCTGTAGTCGCAGCTGCTCTGCTGCTGCTGCCTCTTCAGCCTGTATGCGGGCAGCCTCGGCTGCCAGCTGGCGTTGTTCCTCAGCCTCAATCTGAGCGTGGAACCGCTGCTTGTAGGCGGCAAGGGACTCGTTGGGCAGTTGCCCTGGCAGGCCCGTCATGTTGCTGACGTGGCACTGCTGACATGGCACTGTGTCTGACGTGGCACTACTTACGTGGCACTATGTCTGACGTGGCACTGCTGATGTGGCACTGCTTACATGGCACTGTTTCTGACGTCACTGCTGACGTGGCACTGAGTCTGATGTGGCACTGAGTCTGACGTGGCACTATGACCTGGCACTGCTGACGTGGCACTGCTGATCTGGCACTGTGACGTGGCACTGTGACCTGGCACTGCTGACGTGGCACTGCTGATCTGGCACTGTGACGTGGYGCTGCTGACGTGGCACTGTACCGAACCGGGATGCATGCAAGGGGTGGGTGGGAGGGAAAACGTAGGTAGGTAACCAACCCAACAATACTTTCCTCCGGCCCTAATCAACAGATAAACTAAAAAAATAAAAAATAAAAGAGGACTACTTACCTTTTTTTTCCTTTTTTTTTTTGTATATATCTGTCGATCTATGATGAGTAGGATATGTCAGAAGAGTATTATGAACGATGTCTAGGCTAGGTTCCGCAAAGTTTCGGCTTTTACAAACTGCGATCTTGAAAAAAAAAATTTGCGAAATGGAGTAAAGATGCGATTTTCAGAAAAGGACGAAAACCAGTTTCTGAGAATATAGCAACCTCCGAATATGCCTAACGCAATATTGGTATGCTTCGCAAGATTCGGTTTTCAAAAAAAAATTTGCAAGATAGAATGGAAATGCGGTTTTCAGAAAAGAATAATTTCAGTTTCCGAGAATATGACCACTTCTATCGTTATCCCAATATGCMTAGAGAACGAAAATACTAACTTCAGAAATTTCAGCTATGTATGCGAAATATCAGAGAAACGAAATGCTACTATCGGGAATTTTCAGACAAAACAAAATGGGATTTATCAGAAATTTTCAGATATTTGCTACGTAAAAACGAACTACTAATATCAGCAATTTTCAGGTAAAACGAAATGCGAATATCAGAACTTTCAGATAGTTGTTGCGAGAAATTTTTTTTTTCAGAGATTTGACTAAGTCCTACTTGCGTTACTAATGAGTGATCAATAGATCGCAAGCTGGCTACTTGTTGCATACTGTAACGTGCAGACCAGAACAAGAACCGACCTTTCAATACAAAGTGTAAGATAGCACAACGGAAGACTTAGATACCAGTGATCCGAACAATCAATGTTGCAATACAGTCCTGAACATTCATCATCATCATCGTTACATGGTGTGAATGGGGCCTGGCGGTTCACACAGGAAGACTGCGCCAGCCCATACCATACACAGATGAAGAGGAAGGGGATAGACGAAGAGGAGGGGAAGATGGGAATGTCGTCAACACCAAGTCTTCGGCACAAGCCCAAATAGTCCCTCGTCGAAATGTCTGAGTCCCAAATGTCAAGTCTGGATCCAATGTCGTCAAGTCTCAAGTCACAACTCTCTCTCTCTCTCTGTGTCCAGTACTAACCTGTGAAGTTGGCGCCTTGATGCAGGTACCACGAAGATGGAGCTGGAGCGATGGCGCCACAGGTAAGTATCACTGGCCTCCGCCAGTCTCTCTCCCACTCTACGATCTACCACCTACCAGCGCCCAGCGCTGAAGACTACAGCTACAGCTATGGCGCCCAGCGCCGAAGACTACAGCTAGCGCTAATACCACCTAGCGCTGAAGACTACAGCTACAGCTATGGCGCCCAGCGCCGAAGACTACAGCTAGCGCTAATACCACCTAGCGCTGAAGACTACTGCAGCGCTCCTCCTGAGTGCTGCGGCCGAAATCCTGAAGACTACCTTGTGCCCTACTGAACTACCTGCCCGTGAAGTGCATGGGAACTTCCTATGCACTACCGGGTGTGCCTCCTGAGCCTGCCGAAGGGAGGCAGGGGCTGCAGCTGCAGCTCCTGCTCAAACTCGTGAGGAACAGGCTATTTCTGGCCTGTTCCGCATCCCTGTTTACGTGCCTGAGTCTTAGGGGCAGGTCGAAACAATGAGGGCCTGAAAATGGCCCTCCGTTTCAGGCTGAAAACTCTGGGACCCAGAAATAGGCTGAAACGGGGTAGGGCCTGCAGGCCCTCGTTTTTCAGCTTTCAGGCTGAAACGAACGGGGCCTGTAAGCCCTAAGTTTTAGGCTTTTAGGCTGAATGTCCGGGACGGGCCCTGCAGGGCCCGTGTGGCTACGCAGTATGCCACAGTGAGACACGGCAAGCTGACAGTCAATCCTCCTCCTAACGGTGGAGCAATCAATGCTGTTCAGGGGTCCTTCGGCCAAACGGAAGGAAGCGTGCATTTCTGCTGCAATGTAATGTGTATTCTGACTTGCCGGTGGAATAGGAACCGGACTGACGCTCCCCAGAATAGAAGGCGCCAGGACCATAAGGCCCTCTTTAAAAAAAAAAAGAAAAAAAAAGGATGGGCACATCGGTTCAGGGCTTTTTGGCAGTTAGTACCGAGTACATCGCTGCTGCGCTACGCATGAACCGGAAGTGGTGACGGCTTAGTGTGGAAGGAGACAGGCATAGCCAGACCTTCGGAGAGCCGGCCATAGCTGGGACCTGCGCTGTACTCTGCCAGCATGTACAGAGGTCTGGGTTATCGAGGTCTGCTGGAGGCGAGAGAAGTTGGTGCCCTGCTGGACCCTCCTCCGGAGTGGGGTTCCAGGGTTGTGGTGCTGCAGCCATAGCTGCAGCTTCTTCCTCAGAGGTCATCTTGTCAGGAGTTGGTGGCGCTGCTGCAGACTTCCATCTGGGAAGTCTTCCGACACTTCGTCATCATCAGATACTGTGGCGCTGGTCTTCTTCTTCATCCTCTGAGTGGCGCTTGGCCTCAGAGGCCTGTTTCAGGGTGGCGCTTCCCTTTGGGGGCCGTATCTGGGTGGCGCTTGATGTTTTAGGGGCTCAGGGGAGTCACGAGTGGTTACTCAGGGTTGGGCAGTAAAGCGCTGCTCATTTCTGAGCAGCGCACTGTAGTACTGTGGTTATCCTAACAATTTGAGACTCTGAGTTTAATAAACAGTGTGATACTGGGTTTGGACTATCATCGTTTCATTGTTTCCTTGACGTGATCTACTCGGCTTTTGTTTATGACTGGTTGTGAGGATTGAGTGGACTGAACTGGACTTTCAGTGTACCCTGTCATATCGCATGGTCAAGTCGTCCGCTGTGTTTATCTCTCCCTGTGCGGTGTGATACTCCTATCCTCTCCCCTTCCTACTGTGTATGTATGGGCATACCTGGAAGTCTATGTGAGTGAGTGTTGGTCTTCAGACAACAAACAACCAGAATCATAACACTACAACACTCGTCCCTCATACCTTTTTTTTTAATATAAAAGAAAAGAACTTCATTTGTCCCCCACCTCCTTAGAATTCCCCGTAAGTCCTTCTCCGGCTGAACTTTGGCTGTGTCCCTGGTACTATGCCTATTTTAACTATTTCTAGTTCTACCCCTAAGTCAGCACATGGATACAGACTTGCACTCAGAACTTCATGAGACAAGCACACCGACATTCATACACATTAGCAGGATACTTGGACCCCCGAACCACAGCAAAACAGACACAGAGTCTGACATCTCAGCAAACAGATTGAAAGACACCACCCTCTTGAACTTGGCCGATGATGGCTCGTTCGCTTAGGGGACTGATCTGCACTTTTGTAAGGGACGCCGGGCCCGATTCCCGGTTTGTATAATAAACTCTCTCAGGAGATTGCTGATGTGTCAGACTGCAACAGTGCGGGTTATTGCGGGGCCAAGGTGTTTGACTTGGGAAGGAAGTGAGTTCTGTGGATGATCTGGTCTCAACAATTCACAAACAAGATGGAAGGCATTTCGCACAGACTGGCTGGGAGGAATTGCGGGTGGGCTCATTGCCAGGGCAGAGAGAGAAGTGAGAAAGAGAGAATTTGCATATCTCAGATTTAATGTATGGATGAAGCCAAATCCGAGCTGGATACTTAGGCCTGCACATTTCTTTTCTGACGTTTTCTGACCCCCAGTGCCCCGTCTGTTCTAGTGTTGAACTCGCATGGTATGGGTCATCAAACTCTAGTTAAGAATGTCTGAGATTGACACAGCAGGTTACAGCTTAAAAAAAAAAAAAAAAAAAAAAAAAAAGGGGTACAGCTACATTAAGCCGATGCTGGTTATCCAGGTCAGGACTTAAAGCACCAGTACCTGGACGCGCGCTGGCGACACATTTTTTTTCTCTTTTGGCTGGCGCCATAAGCCGTTGTGGTCCAGTAGGCCCAAGGTGCACATTTTTTGGAGTAGGCGATGAACTCTTTTCCACAAGGCTGGGGCCGTGTACTTGCAGTCTAAGAAGGTGTCCCCCCTGTACCTCCTCAAGGAATAGGGAGGGATCAATCCTTCCTTCCCAGCGAGGATGTAGCGAATGGCATTCTCCACTGATACCCCTACCCCAAGATCAGGTCTGTGACACATCCACAGGATGCCAAAACCAGTTTTGAGCAGAAGTTCTTTTATATCTTAAGGACGCCTGACCTGGTTTCCAGTACCTGATGCTCCCTAAGAAGAGGAAGGAGCCATCAGCCTGGTGTTAAAAAATACAAAGACAGAATGCGCCTAGCTGAATTGGTACACGCATGACCTGTTGAAAAATAGAGATCCAGGTTTGAAAGCTCCCCTGACCCCATGGGCAGCACAGCATAAGGATTCCCGCGTGTGGTGAGCGGGCGATTACCAGTGGGGGTCATGTATTGACCGGTGTGAAGTGTGCGAGAATTGCCATGTGTCTGTGTGGCGTAGTGTGTGGTGTAGTGTGTGGTGTAGTGTGTGGTGTAGTGTGTGGTGTAGTGTGCGATGTAGTGTGTGGTGTAGCGTGTGGTGTAGTGTGTGGTATAGTGTGTGGGGGGTGTTGAGTTGGACACTACAGCCTTGCAGGGGTGCGGTGGATATCATGACCGGTATGGTTCCACTTTTGGACACCGTGTCCTTGCTGTAGTGGTTGAGAGACTTGGCTCTTGAGGCCGAGGTCGCCAGTGAATCTGTGCTTGCACAGAGGAGGACTTAGGCCCAGATACAAGTTCGAATCCAGATGCAAAAGAGAGGGGAATGCAAGGAAAATGAACAACAGCGAAATGACAGAAATTTAGAGTGCAAAATCACATTGAGAGCCAGCAAGTCCAACGCTGTCCAGAAAGCAGAGATGCACTGATATTCCACCAACAGAGAACCAAAGCACTGAATCTGAATGTCAATGAGAGCATACTCTCGCCACCACCAACATATGTATCCAGAGTCCTTCCTCCTTCTTGGCGCTCAGCGCCCAGACTACGATCACACAGCTACTAGCATCCTACGAATTGACAATGCATCCTGTTGACGTCAGCAGCAACAACCGAAGTACATGAAGATGTCGACCTTGTAGACCATCGCCAAGACCAGGTACGTGCCCTCACATCATCAACCTCATCTCTCTCTCTCTCATCCTTGACTTCATCACCCATGTCTTCCTCTCCATACACGAAAACCACCACCACCTCCACTGGCTATCCAAGCCAAG